CTCGCATCGATTCTTTCGTAAAATTGAAGCAATTTGGAAATCAAAATAGAATAGAATTTAACATTAGTACACAATATAAAATATATATTGAAAATTATAATGAGATAGTTACGGCTAATAGATATATTTTAATAATTAGTAGATGTTATCGAAGCGAGAATTGGCATTTAGAGGGCATATAGAATCTATTAAATCTAATATAAGAGAGTTAATTATATTGAACTTGCTTATTTATTAAGTGCGTTAGATAATGTATTAATTAAAAATACATATAGAGAAGTCTACGGTTTTTACTGGCTTATCGAAGAAACGAATACGAATGGACCCTAGACCAATCCTGACTGATAGCCCCTGGAAGTCAGCTTCTTATAGAAACACAGCTTCCCTATCATCAAATGTCACGGCACGCCAGTGCAAAAATGAACAGTTTATTTATTTTAATTCTAAAATAAATACATTGACGTGAAACAAAGATATAAGAACTTTTTTTATGAAAATAATCGCATAATATGTATTTATATTTTAGAAAATACAAGGGAAGCAGCCCATCCACAGCTTCCAACGACTGTACTACATTGGTATATAATGAATTAATTTATAAATGTATGAAGACAAGCAATTATGTACATCATTAATATAATTATTATTTATCAAATCATTACATTAATTGTTTTCTGTTAAAGTTTCTACAATTTATCACCATCTTTTATTTGTCATTTAAAATTGATAGAAATAATACATGCTAGCCTGTACAGAATGTTTATTTACTTACCTGTAGTTCTTTTTGATTTTCTCTTCTTTACATATAAATTAATTCTACCAATCTAAACAATAATATACAATAATTAATTTAGATTAGCAAGAGCACTTTAATTTGTTATTGAAAAGTTTAAAGATATTTTTCTAAAAAAAATATACATGTGTGTTTGTTACATGGAAGATTAATACAGTAGAGCGTCGTTTATCCAAAAGTTGGTTATCCGAAACGTTGGTTAACCAAAAGTTTTCCAGTCTGCAAATTTAAATTTTCGCTAGTGCTGTGGCACTGCAATCTTTGGTTATATCTTGGGCTACTCCAATATTTTTTTTGTTGATGTGTGTGGTTTAGCTGGCAGCACTGGCACTTTTGTGTGGTGTTTTTCTGAAGACTGTGTCGGAATGTGTGTCATGCTCAATCGAATGTTTTTGATAGTAGATTAATGTCTAAAGTAGAATTTTTTTTATTTTTCAATATATTTATTTTGTTTGTACAAAATAAAGAAATAATTTTTAATGATACAATAGCCACGATTATTATTATAAAAATTTTTGTTAGGTTTAACATCGACAAAAATTCAACGCAAAGCGACATGCAACGGAGAAAAATTTCAACATGGGATACATTAATATATTTTTTCGAACATAAATCAGTTATCCGAACAACCCCAGTTCCCAATTGATTCGGATAAACGATGCTCTACTGCAGTAGTTAGTTGTAATGGCACTTACAAATGGAAGTTGTGAAAAATCATTTCATAATTTTCTTATACCTTAATTAAAATTATAGCTGAACTATACTAATTTTCTAATCGCAGAAATTTTCTTGGAGTTTATTGGTTTAAATAATTTATTTCCCTAGAATAACAATAGAAAATTCTATTGGTTTTAAATATTGCTCTAGCATACCAACAGATGTTTTTATTGGTTTCTGTTGACTTTTACTTTACAACAGAAACCAACAGAGCACCAACAGATTTTCATATTGATTTTTATTGTTTTTTATCAGGGAAGTTATAAACTTAGAAGATCTTTAATTGATTACTAAAGAAATTATTTAATTGATTAGAACAGATTATATATTTTGATAAGAAACCAAATTTGCTAAACTTTGAACTATAATGTCATTTTCGATGATAATGACTGTTGTTTTGAAAATTTAATGAATGTGAACAGGAAGCTCATGAATAAATTATTTTATTCATTAGTTTTATAATTTCTTCATTATTATTATTATGTTGGGTTTAGTGGGTTGTTACTTAGTGGGTTGGGTACTTGGTTGTTACCAGTGGCTTTGTACTATGCCAGACCAGAGTCAAGGCATAGCAACCAAAAACTAAAATTAAATAAGTGTGTCAGTGTCTGTATTCAAGAATTTTTTAACAATGTGGCATATATTCAATATAGTGGCCTTCTGTAGTGTGATGTATGTATTTCTATTCAATTGTAATGTTCCCAGGCTATTGTGCAGTATGTGGGATATCACACTTGTACAGGAGAGAACGACAGGTACAATAAGCACCCTTTCCATTTTCCACAGATGTCTTATTTTTTCGGCAAGTTCTGTGTACTTACTAATTTTTCAGTGCATGTGTTTTGTACATTGTGAGTGTTTGGAATGGCTATGTCTATAATGTATGTGATTTTATTGTGTTTGTCAATGAGTGTGATGTCTGGTCTGTTGTGGTAAATTGTTTTATCTGTGATTATGGCTCTGTCGTAGTACATTTTGTGCGTGTAGTTTTCCAATACTGTCTGTGGAATGTATTTGTACTATTGTCCATGGATGTCTAATAATTTGTGTTTGTTTGCAAACTCTTGGCGTATTATATTTGCTACTTGATTACGTTTGTGTAAGTAATCTTATCTGTGCCAAGAGCTTGCAACCAGAAGTGATGTGTTGTATAGTTTCTGGCAGGATGTGACATTTTCTGCATGTGTCATTTGTGAGT